CAATTGTTTTAAAGACAATAAATAAATAGATCAAAAAATAAATAAATAAATAACTTAATGTGTCAAATCCCTTCAGACATGTCTTAGCGGAGATCTTCTTAGGCAAAGCTTCATTAGGTAGATGATCCCTAATAGTGCGCAATGGGGACTTATGGATGCATGTGAATTGATCGTGAAGCTCTACCTTTTAGCCAAGCAGTCCAAGAGATGTTTATGTCTTTATTTAAGTGTGATTTCTATAAGGGGCATCAGTGAGATTAAGTTAATGTGACTGTGTTTTGCTATAAAAGGTTCCCGAATAGAGACAGCAGCAGAATGTGTCACTTTTGCCCTTAGACCAAATTTAGTGTGGCCCAATGGAACAGAAAGCTTTGGATAAGGAAAATTAAGTGAACGTGAAAGGAGAACAGAATATCAAGTCCTCTCTGCCTCTCTCTTTGTCTCAAGGGAGATAAAGGGTTAAAGACATCTTCAGTTACTTTTATTACATGTATCTCGATAATGGCTAACAGTAAGTCATAAAGGACCATCAACAGGTAATAGGTAACAATCTCTTAGTTGCAGAAGTATTTTTCTAAAACAATGTAAAAAGGTAATAATTCATTTGGTAATACCCATTGCTACACTGATACTAAGTCATATTTCTTGTCTTGTGTTTTTGCAAAGCTACAATAACAGTCAGGTCTACAATGAATAAATACTTCACCAACTAACAAAAAAAAAGAAAAGCTCTTTGTCAAATGATAGTAATAGTTGAGTTCCGTTGTGAATGTTGAGTTGTAGATGAGCTTGGAGCACAGCGCAGTCAGGGGCAGAGTCTAAAAATGTTGTAAGATGCATTTGAGACTCCTCTGTGCATTAAAATGGTAATGATAGAGCTGTTTTACTTTTCTAGAGAGACACAGTTACGACCGTGGGCAATGGGCACTCTGTTTGTGGTTGTGCCTGAGTGAATCACCCCTCCAGGTGAGATGTGCAGCCGTCAGACTGGCAGCAATTTCCCCAACAGATAAAAGGCCCAGCTGTTCAAAGTTCCTCCTCATTTAGAGAGCATCCATGACCAAACCGTATTTGAAGATATACCAAGGACTTATCATGTTGTTATGTCATTTTTCTGTGTCACAAATGGTGGCTCATTTTACTGGTAGATGATGATGATGATGATATGCTTTCATCTGTCCTAAAGTTTAATTATTAGTGTTTTTTTGTTGTTGTTGTTTTGTTTTGTTTTTTTGCATGAAGGGAGCTATAAGAATTGTACTGATGCTGTTTGCTGCTTTATCATTACTTCATTGTTCACAAAAGGCTTTGAAGTTTTGCACCGTGCATCTGTCCTTTTCTGTTGCATCTTTTAAGCCAACCACAAAACAGAAAACTTGTGTCACCTTGATGAGTCCTTTGAGGCCAAAGATTGCCTCTAAGATTTGCCAGTGTGTGTGTGAACTTAAGATATACAGATGGGCTTTCCATTTTTGTCATACTGGTACACTAACATCTTGATGCAGTGGGAGTTTGCAGGTGAGATCCAAGGGCTACTTGTAATGGAGAAGTTGTGACTGGCATAAAATGGCTTTGGCTGCTTCCGGCAGTGGACAAGCGCTCGGAGTACGTTTGCTGCCATGGCTCTGAAACGCTTGCTGATGAAGCAGTATAGGAAGAAGTTGACACCGGTGTTGAGCAAAGCCAGCATGTTTGCAATGTCGGTGAGTGCGTGGAGCAGGCGACCGGCACTTTGTGATGCTGGTGGTGGAGAGTAGAAATGGTAAAGGATCAAGACCGTACGTGGAGCCCACAGAACAGCAAAAACAGAGGTGATGGCGAGGAGGATGGCGGTGGTCTTGCCAGTGGAATAGCCGCGCAGTCTGAAGCAGTTGCGACGCTTCCGCAACTTTCGCACGATACCAGTATTGAGGGAGAAGAAGACTGCGCAGGGTAGGAGATATACCGTGGCACAATGAGCCCAAACCAGAACATGCTCTGCCACTGTTCTTCTATTGCTTTCTCCTCCACCTCCTCCTCCTTCATCAATCTTGCCAACCCCTGGTAGACTGTGCCAGAACTCAGGCCACCAGTAGTAGGGAGCTGCAGAGAGCAAGCACCCAATGTAGACTGCAAATATAACCTTGCGCGTTCGGGCAGGATAGGACACCGTGTGGTAGCGGAGAGGGTGACAAACAGCAATGTAGCGGTCGATGGTCAGGGGGACCGTTATCCAGATAGAGGTATGGATGGAGGAGAACTCTAGAACCTGCACTGCGTTGTTTATGGATGGAGGCAGGAAGGAAGCCAGGATAAAATCCTCTAGGATGAAGTCAACAAACACAATGAGGAGAAGAACAAGGATGTCAGCAGCAGCCAGAGCCAGGAGATAGTTGTAGGAGGACTTCTGACGACGCAGCACCAGCTGGGACAGGATAACCACAGTCAGGATGTTAGCTAGGACAAATGGAGGATTTAAGATGGTGATGGAAGGAAATATGAAAATGGTGATGAAAGGAAAAAAAAATAAATGGACAGATATTAGGGCAGGGAGGGAAACAGAGAGATTGATTGTTAGTGGACTACAGATTGAAACAGCTAGCAATAAACAATTAAGCAATAGAGAACCAGCTAACAACAGCAGAAATGGCGCAAACACTGACACAAGCTACATACAAGAAAAACATGCAAACAATTTTGCTTTTGAACTACATAAAAGATATTCTGCCTCAATGTAAAAGTGTATCAATCCTTTCTCTGTGTGTTACTTCTTTTCATTTTTCACTTCATTGACACCTGCTGGGTAATTCAAGGAGCACCTGCCTCTCCCTTCAGTCAAATTGTTATCTCTAATCAGGAGGAAAGTAACAACAAAGTCATGTGACAATGTGCAGTGTCACAGCCCTTACACTATTGTTTGCCATCAGTTTGGCTGTAATTCACCTTCTGTACAAACAAGTGGTAGGGCAGGCCATTTTTCCTCTCAGCCTATTTTTTTCTAGCATTTTACCTGAATTAGACATTTTGTTTATCTAAAATATTAGACATTTCCACTGAAGCTGACAAAAGTCAAAGGGGATTTTTTTTTTTTTACCTTTCATGCATAGATTAGATAATACACCTAAGATAAGGAAATTTTAAAGGTAACTTATTTGGCATTAAAATCAAGAACTGCTTTTATAAATTCAAGGTCTTTAAAAGTCTAATATGATCAAATTTTAAATGAATGTGTTTTCATAGTTTTGAATTAGGAGTTCATAAATACACATGTCTAGGTCCACAACAGAGGCCACCATGTTTGGTGGTCTCTATTTGCCCAGAGTTGCTGAAAGGGACAAACATGTAGTCAACTTGTTTTTTGCATCTTACGTCAGGATAAAACAAGAGTATTTGCTTTTACTAAGCTGAAGAAAATTCATGAGGGAGCAGGGCTTAAAAAAGGATGTAGAAGTTAAAAGCTTTCTGTTGAACAGGTCAGTTAATGTAATAAAAAGAGTAAAGTTTATTTCTGCCTCAGGTTAGAAACTGCTCAGTGTACTCTGCGCAGTCGTATTTCCCTAGATATTTTTCCATGTATTTCATCATAACTTTTTTTTTTGTTTGTGAGCTCAAAGCTCGCAAATGTGGTTCTGTATTTTGGAGGCCAACAGGCGCTTATTGTTTACTTCAAGTATCGCTTTTAGCTCTGGATGGCAAACAGTGGTTCAGTCAGCTGGGATAACATTTACTATGAAAAAATAGGGTCCGCTAACTTTTTCCGCAGCTTGTGAAAAAACATTTAAATCAATCTGTTTAATTGAGTAATAAAAATATTTGCAATTAAATTACTTTCCTCCAGGATTTAACAGAAAGTGTACATTAATTTGGGGTAGGTCAAAGGCATTTCAAAAAAATTATATTTCAGACATCTTTTTCCTCAGAAGGTCTACAAAACAGACTAATACATACCTCAGACTCATTACATGTAATTCAGCAACCCTACAAACAGATCAGCAGCACTATACCTATCATTTTGTGTGTGGCTAAGCAGAATATTCAAATCCAACCTGCTAGCACAGCATCAAGTCAAGCCCAATAAGTTACCCCAAACAAAGAGGGACAGAGACATTAATCCATTTAGCAGCCATCACTGTACATGCAAGCGTGTGTGATCGTGCCCCTCTCTTCAATAATGCATCTGGGATTGGATTAAATATGGCAGCTTGGAGTCTGGGACATCACACTTCAAAGCTTTATCCACCAACAAGCAATAACAAATGACAAAGATGGATCTTGATAATGACTAAAGATGTGCTTGCAAGGCTGGAAGCATGTGTAGCAGAGCACGCACACATGAGCAAATACCGGCATCTGAACATGTACACACAAGCATGTAATCTGAGATGAGCCAATTCATTAGGGTCTGATCTATCAACCATAAATGACAAGCCAAAGCTATTTGGAAGATTTAATACACCAATACATAAAAGGCTGCTTCATACTCTACTCTTCAGTTAGGTTAACATCTAGCAGGGTTTCCCAAAGTGGGTTGGGACCATCTGGTGGGTGGTAACAGGATAATTATGACAAACATTGTGATGTGATCCCTGAGACAAATGGGATGCAAAAACATACAGTATCACAAACTACGTACATAAAAAAAAATGTCCCATGAAATAAATAGATGTTCATCTTATGTATTTATCTAATAAATTATTTTAATATTAATATACAATTAAATTATACATTAAATTATTAAATGTCACCAGAGGCGACACTTGATGGGAAAAAAATTCTGACTCCAACACGTAATGTAAAAAATAAATATTTAAATGTATTTCAGATAAATAATATATTGAAAATAATTACTGAACTCTGTATTTGTATACACAGTAAATGTAGAGTTAAATAATTATATGTTTTTACGTCACGACTTGGATGCACTGTTATTTTGAAATGTATGGGATCCCCTGTAGTAAAGGTTTCACAGAGTTATCTTTAACATAAAACAATTAGAATTTTGTTGAATTTTTGACTTTCAAGATATATTGTAGTAATTGACGATGTATATGTCTGTAAAAATACATTTATCTTGGGTTTTATTTATTTGCTGTTTGGGGAAATAGAAATTAAGCTTAAGGGAAAAATTGAAATGGGAAGACTCAGTATCCCCTGGACCAGCTGCGCCATCCCTCTTTCAAGCTTCAGCCAATCACCTTCTCCGACGCCAATCATCTATGGCCTAGCCTCGTTTCTGCACACCAGCAAACTTTAACATGCCTTTGAACTTTCAGTCATCAAGCGCTTTGTTTCGTCTATTTCGCACTGATCTCCTGGTTCCGATCCACCCTTATAGGAACATCCCAGGCCTTCTCTTAAGCTTTCGGTCCCTCCTGAACCTGCTTCAGCTGGCATTTCATCCTCCGCTCACCAGCTGTCCTGAATCTCCTTTCCTCCTGCTAATTTCCTCCAGGAGCAAGCTTAACCACTTCATGGTTAAGCTCCGCCAGGCCTTCGCTCCTTCCACCTTCCACACAAGTCTCTGTCTTCCGTTCAACTTATTGCTCAGCAGGCAGCTTTGCTCCCTACATCTGTGTTCAGCTCACAGAAACCCAAAACCAATTCTTTACAGGTGAGACGTATCTTTCCAAGACTTGCATGTTTTCCAAATTTCTTGCCTCAGCGCTTTCTTCTCTGTCAGGAGTGGTGTAAATTCTCACTCACGTGCATCTCCAGCCTTCGGCTTTACATCGTTCATTAAATCCTCTAATCCTAGCCTTCCAGGAACCCCAAGCTTGATTTTCAATGTCTTTTTACTGTTTAACCAATGTCGTAGCTGAATTATCAGCTGATTGATTATACAGTATGTTGCTTTTCATGGATGAATCTATGTTGGTTTTGTATTGTTGTTCCAACTTCTTTTGTAGTCCAATGTTTAATTTCTGAAAACTACAAATTTATTCCTTGTCAAATCTATTCCATAAACATAAACATTGTGGTTTAACTCAAAATTGACCATTCAATTTGAACGCTGCTTTAAAATGCAAGTAAAGTATCTTTGAATGACTTGAATTATAAGTCCTTTCAACCTAAAACTGCTTAATCGAATATTATCAATTTTTCCATCACACTTTATCCCAGCTAGGGTCGCAAGGAATCTATCTCTATATCCTATTTCCAGCTTTCTATGGGTGAGAGGCGAGGTACACCACTGCATCCAGTTTGTTTGACAAACAGGACAAAGAATCATTCATGCTCACACTCAAGGAGAAATTAGAAAAGCCAATGAACAGTCATGTTTTTGGACTGTGGGAGGAAGTTGGAGTACCCAGAGAGAGCACATGCATGCTCAGAAAGAACATACAAACACCATACAGAAAGACCCCGAGCTGGGAATCGAACCCAGAACCTTCTTGTTGCAAGGTAGCAGTGCCACCCACTGCGCAGCCCATTCTGCCAGTTGAAGTAAACATTGGCAAAAGTGATAAAAAAAAACAACAACCCTGATTTGTCAGTTACCATACTCGCGATAAATGAGGAGTTTGGATCTTCCAATGGTCACTCAACCATTTAGGCTTTGGCTTAGGCTGTTGTATATCATGCAGTATACAATCCGAGTCTTTATACCACTTCCTATCATATGGCAAAAATTCAAGTGACAGTCTTGTCACTTTTAAATGATCAAAGCTAAGCTTTCAGCCTTCGGGTTTCAGAGGCATCTTGGCTCATCCACTCTGTCAGCTTAATTGAGCTCGTCATTATTTAATCCGCTAGCAGGCACTCAATATCATCTGTTAATCTTAATCATGAGTCATGGTTTAATAACGCTGAGTCACTTATGGAGTTAAAGATGAATGACTTTACTGTTTTTTCATGTTTAATGCTTGCAAATTGGAATTATGCTTCATTTGGTTGTTTCGTGGTTAAAAGTCCTTGAATTTTCATGGGCCTGTAGAAAAACACTCTACTTTTACTATTCCGTCATCTTCGCCATTCATTGCATTACCATCAAGCACCATCACATATATTATTGCAGCGCATCGTCCCTATATTCATCAATACACCACGTTAAAACAGCCGCATCATGCCCACGGCACATCAGTGTGGACGCATTATTTAGTGAATCTGCTGCTCAAGGGTTACTTCAAAGAACTCACTCCAACATTTTGGTCAATGATTTTCAGCTTTAGCTCCCTGCATCTGTCCCCACCTCTCCTCCTTGTTTAATGCTCAACGTCTTCTTAACCTATAAGGAGGCATGATCAGCATTGACTGGTGTGGTAAGCCTTTTTTAACTTTCTCCTCTCCACATTGCACTTATTTCCTGCTTTTCTCCACACCCAATGACTCTTAAGGGCTGGTTATACTCCCCGCAGCAGTGTGTCACAGTAAGTTTGACGCAGACATTTTTAATTTATGCTCTATTTTGAAGCGTGGTCCTCGCTATACGCTGTGGGTCTAGATACGGCAGAGGCAGA